GCTAACCTTTTCCTTGATGTAAATCATATTGCTCTGTATTCTATACATTGAGCTCTCTACGAATCTATCCTTTCAATATTTTATATTAAAAAGAACCACTTGGTTTATCCTTTCCACTTACGGATTTGATATATATATATATATATTTGAGAATTTTTATTGTTGTAGGAGTTTATCAGTCAAATTGCCATATTAGTAAAAAAAAAAAAAACGCACACTCTTAAATTTTCAAAAAAACTTAACCTTTGCGTTGCGACTGCACGCTCGAAAGGTTTGTATCCGTTAAACACATTTAAAAAAAAAAATTTTCGATTCGCATTTAACTTTTTCGTCTCGGATGCTACCTGAATTTTACAAGAAAACAAAATAATTTCCATGCCTGAAGATGACTGAATGTACAGTTGAAAGTACTTGCGTATTAAAGAAAGACCTTATACAGCTTAAAATTTTTTAAAACAATGATCATAACATTCATCGAGTGATTTGTAGGTTAATGCAACTTTAAAATTTTGTTTGCGAAGGGATTTCGCCATTTTATATCATTAACATTACTGATCTCCTTCTTGTATGAATGATTCATTGTAATATAAATTAACCTCCACCACATATTTGATTCAAATTCGATTACTTTTTTAATCATTTCACCCCTAAGTTAGACATTAACTCTACTAAGACACAAGCAGTTACAGAATGTGAAAGAATAAGAGAAACATTATTAAGGAGTATAAACAATAAAAGATGATAAATCAAGGAGACAGTTGATAACGATTGATATTGCATTTAAATTCTTTAATTTCAACGTTGACTGGAAAGCCTGAGGCTGGAAAAGAATTCCACAAGCTAGAAGTACTAGAGAATTTAAAACCCGCATTAATTTGAAAAGATAACTATGCGACCTAAATAAAAACAGGGTCGCTGGTCGGTTAATGTCTTTATTCGTTTATGCGTTGTCAGGCTGGATAGTCACACAGATATGGGGTCAGCCATGACAATTAACATTTGCAGTTGAGACCAGGCGATTCTTAACTCAGGCCTATACAGCGCGTGTAGTTCATCAGGAACTGGGGGCCAACACGCGAAAGTTCGTTGCTGGAAGTGGATTAAGAAATTGAATTTTTTTAAAGAAAATTTTACTTTTTACCTTTGGATTAAGTTAAGTTTATTATTCAAAATACTGAATTAAGTAATATTTATTTATTTTAGCGATATTTTATCTATAAAAAAAACTTTCTCGGTTCAAAATTCACAAGTGTCATTAAGAATTTTATTACAAAAAATAAAGTTAATATAAATTAATATTTTTCTCTGTTATTGTTCTTCAACGATGACGGTATTAAGTATAAAATTAATTTTTTTATGAATAATTTACGATTTTCTTTAACAGAAAAAAACAAGTATTGTTTTCTTTTTATGTTGAATTTTTCTGTCATTCGTAAATAAATAGAAAACATTAAAAACGAAATTAATGAAAAATGACACTTATTAATGAATTTATCACAAAGTTTATGTCAAAAATTAAATACAATAAATTTAATATTTTTGTTACGGGCCGGAGTACGCGTTAAAAGATAAGGACGTGTGTCTCCTGAAATGCCCACAACAAACATGGTGGACTTGGAGTGTGAGTCCACCTAAAAAAATCTAAGGAACAACAAGAACCAATATATAAGTACAAACAAATGATAATGTATTAACAACAAACAAAGACAAAGACAATAATGTGTGTAACAAATGAGTGTGGAAACTTTTTGGTCAAAAGTTTGTGCAGTGAGTGAATGTGCGTATGTGTGTGTGTCTATGTATTTTTCATATGTCTCCCAAAAAGAAAAAACGCGATCCTCCGCGAGAGATTTACATGTCGTATAAGCGGAAAAGTAAGAAGAGTGCGATATTTTACAACTATTAAAAATATACCTAAAAAATGTAAAGAAATTACTGTCTTCCCAATATGGTCTTTTTTTTTTTTTTTTTTTTTTTTTTTAAGCTTTTCGCTTATTTTAAACAGCGAAATTTTCACTAAATGTCATTATTAAGAATTTTCTCAAAGAAAGTTAATGTCATTTTTATGCTATTAATCTTCATAATAACGAATATCTTGATTAATAAATTCATTTTCTAATGAATAATTTGTGCTTCCTTTATAACACGTAAAGTATGTTTGATATCGTCCTAGTAAGAAAACAAAAAAAAAAATTAATGTAACTTTTTGAACTGTTAATTTTCCAAAATTACTCTACAAAAATTTGCGCATTTGAAAAAAAAATTAAAAAAAAATTAATTTAACATTTTTCTATGATATCATTCTTCATAACAAACATTGATTTAAAAAAATAATTATTTACACACGGGTATTTAAAAAAATGTATGTTTAATTTTACGAGCATTATTTTTGTTAAAAGATTTTTTTTAAGAATTAACCGGTTTAATTTTCTTTCTTTAAATATACTGAAAAATATTTAACTGGTTAATTTTGGTTAGATAATTGCACTCCATGTAAAAT